TATATATATATATATGTATATTGATATATCAACATCATATCCCCCCTGATGTGATGCACTGAGAAGGGCCTTCTCAATAATGCATAACCTCAATTTAATATAAGAAAGCATCTGACAAACCCAAATAAGAAGAACATTTAAGAAAATAACACATCCTCTTCAAAAATATCAAGGTCATAAAAGCAAGGAAAGGCGGAGGAGCTGTCACATACTGAAGGATCCCAAGGAAACATGGCAACAAAATACAACGTGGGATCCTAGACCGGATCCTAGAACAGAAAAAGAACATTTGTGAAATAATGGTGGAATATGAACAAATTCTGTAATTTGGTTAACAATATTATAACCAGGATTAACTTCTTAGTTTTGATCACCATTCTGTAATTATGTAAGGCATTAACAAAAGGAGAAGCTGGGCAGAGGGTATATGGAAACTCTTGTACAATTTTTGCAACTCTTTTGCAAATCTAAAATTATCTCAAAATTAAAAGCTAAAAACAAAGAATAATCTTTAGGTTTTAAATTATTTGGTATCAGAATGTTGGGTTTGGTGCAAGCGAGATAAAGTGGAAAAGGCACCAGACCAGCAGTTCACCCCATCCCTGCCAGTGGTATTGAACCTTAAGAGAATCATACAACCTCCCCGAAACTCAGGCTCCACGGCCAAACAGGTTTGATATACAACTCATCTACCTCAAAGGTTACTTAAGGATCAATGACACAAGTAGTTAAAGTTGTCCAGAAAGGACATGTTCATGGACAACACAAGCATTAATATATCTCTAGCCCTAAGAGAAAACTCTATTCAGGAGAGATTTTCCAGGAATGAATTTGAGATAAAACACTAAATACAGAAGCAAGGTAACAGTAGACAGTTCTTTGGCAAAAAAGGAAAGGTTACAAAATTAAAAATAAAAAAACATGCTGAGGGCTCTATCAGGGTACAGAAAGAGCAAAAAAGTAGGACAAGCAGAGAGTGGAGTAACTGGTTCTTTTCCTGTGCCTCTTCCTTCCCTCTCTGCTACCTAAATGTTAGCACAGCAAACTACATCAAGCAAGAGAGGAAACAGCGGTGTTCCCGGCATCACCGAGGAACTCGGAGCAGCCTTAGTATACAAGACAGCTGGGCAACGAGGGAGAAACTACTGTCCTGTCCTAAAGCGAACAGGTCTGAACTAAAAGCTATCATCTCTGAAGAAACCTTTTGGTCTTTCTGGTTTATTCTAATTTTAGAATGACTGGGATGGATGCTAGGCATCACTCCTCACCATGAGACTAAACACAAAACAAACTAATCAAATGTTTGGATCTTCTCTACACTACTAAACAGCCACAGTCAATGAGTAGAAAAAAGGGGTTTCTGGTCCCAATTTAATAAATAGCAGAGGCATATTTTCTCAAGTTGATTTTATTAACAAAAAGTGCAAACTATTTTGAACAAAAGTAAACTATGAGTCACAGCATTCAGCAAGACATAAGACACGGAATAGTGAACAATATTCACTAAGTAAAATACAGCAGATGAGATGTTGCCCACATGTATATTTAATTATTCATGCTTTTTCAATAGTCTCTTAGTCAACTTTCAGTGTAATTTTCACAAATATATAGCAACTCAAACACAAATGCAGGAGCACAATGGCAAAGTGTGGCAACTGTTTTGGGCTAATTATGAGTATGAAAGAAAACCTTATACCACAGTTTCACATTCATGTAAGCCACTATGCAACATGAATGAGTCTTTAAAGGTGCTGACACTGAAATCAATGTACAACTAATGAAAATAAAGAAGGGGGCTTTAAAATATTTGCTGCACTATAGTCGTATGGTAAGAGGCAGAAAAAATGAAAGGATTTTAAATAATCTTACATGTGTCTACAGGTCCAGGAACGTTAACGAATCCAGGTGAACTTAATTCATTTAAAATTACATGTGCAGAAGTCACACAACAGAAAGATTCCATGCCATTAAACAGTGTGCCTGTGCCTGAACAAGTGAGAGAAGATACACACTCCAAAAAGGAGATTCAGTCTAGTGTTACTTCAGTTATTCACATAAAGTGTCTACAGGGCAGAATCTCTTCATAAGCAACTGTTCTGTTCACTAATCTACAGGAACTAATGAAACTGTAATTAAACTGTAATTAAAACCCCAAATATAAAGGTGATTATTTAAACACAATTAAGCTCTAGCCAAAGACAGAAGAGCACCAATGCCAGGCAGGTTACTGACGGCATGCAGGGCCTAGAGGTACATTTTCTGGCAGTTAATCAGCCTTCTGTTGTAATAGACAAACTGCCTTTTGTGAACGTACAAATTTGCTAAATTAATAGAGAACTACATTGCTATTTCCTCACATTACAAAGAACTCTTCCCATACTGTTTTTGCCATGTGCTACTGCTGTCTTAGACTAAACTGTGCCACCTTCCAACAGTTTCCAAATTACTATTTCAGGTCGAGATAATGAAAAAATAAGACCAAATCTGATTATCTGACTGATGACAAATTTGAGCACCAACTACAGCAAAATTCAGGGTCAAGGTAGCCTGCAAGTCAGTTCTCTTGATTTGGCAATTACCTTCCACTGTTTTCATCTGGATTGAAGCTGAGATCTTCAGGGCCTATTTGTTCACCATCAGGAAAACTGGAATGTGTATCTATGATTGAAAAATAGATAAATAAACCATTTTAAATTTAAAAGCATATAATATAACAAGGGGAGTATTTTCCTTTTCAAGTCTTTAAATGATCTTACCAAATACGTTATTTAAGCGATAAAGATGTGCTGAGTTGTGAACAAATCTCTGTCTTCAGAGAATTTGTGATCTGAGTCAGGTATAATCAAACACAAAGGAAAAATAAAGGAGAAAAAACAAAATGTGTAATAGACCCACAATTAAAAGATGACAGGAATTGTCTCATTTTGTCCTCCTGGGGACAATCTGGGGAGTTTAAGAAGGGAACAAGAAGCAATGATGTATATTCTCAAGATTCAAGACCTTATAAACATAAAACATATTTCAAAGCCAATTAAACTATGCATGCAGATATCACTACAAAACCACCAGCAATCCAAATAACTGGTTCTGTATTGAAACATATTCCAAACATATTCTGTATTAAAACATATTCCAAATGCTTGGTTCTGTATTGAAAAAGATACCAGAACACCAGGAAAATATGTAAAATATAAAGCAGACAATTAGCAAAGGCTTGACAATGTTGTCACTCCAGGATATCTTGCAGAGGAATGCTCAGATTGATTATTAAGGCCACTGGGTAACTTTAAATGTGTATTTCTCTAACTTGACAGGATATCCTTTTCTTGATTAATCTGTATTCCAGAAAACTGCTTCACAGCAGAATGCGTATGGTATATCCACATGACAGAGTATTAGGTTGCCATAAAAAATGAAGTTTATGAAATTTTAAATAACATACAAATATATTTAAGTGAAAAAAGCAGAATACAACACTATTTATAAAATATTTAGGTAGGGCTGGCACAGTAGCTCACACCTGTAACCCCAGTACTTTGGGAGGCCGAGGTGGGCAGATCACCTGAGGTCAGGAGTTCGAGACCAGGCTGGCCAACATGGCAAAACCCCGTCTCTACTAAAAATTACAAAAACTAGCTGGATGTGGTAGCACGTGCCTGTAGTCCCAGCTACTCAGGAGGCTGAGGTGGGAGAATTGCTTGAACCTGGGAGGCAGAAGTTGCAGTGAGTTAAGATCGTGCCACTGCACTTCAGTCTGGGAGACAAAGCAAGACTCTATCTAAAAAAAAAAAAGAAGAAGAAATGCAAATAAGAACAGAAGAAAACAAGGTAAAATATTAACATTAGGTTTCTCTTGTTGGGTTTTTTCCTAATAACTTTTTTGGAGGTAGGAGGGAATAAAAATTGATTTCACAATCTGCATGTATTTCTAAGTTATTTTTGTTTTAAAAGGTTAAAGTTATCCTACAGTAGGCTAGAAAAATCTCTGAAAAGGAAAAAAATCCAAACATCTGAAATCTCCCCAGGGTTGGCAATCATTTCCTGTGAAGGGTAGATAGTAAATATTTAGGCATTGTAGACCACAAACGGACTCTGTTGAAAATTCTTCTTTGGGCCGGGCGAGGTGGCTCATGCCTGTAATATCAGCACTTTGGGAGGCCAAGGCAGATGGTTCATGAGGTTAGGAGTTTGAGACCAGCCTGGCCAACATGGTGAAACTCCATCTCTATTAAAAATACAAAAAAATTAGCCAGGCGTGGTGGTGTGTGCCTATAATCCCAGCTACTTGGGAGGCTGAGGCAGGAGAATCACTTGAACCCAGGAGGCGGAGGTTGCAGTGAGCCAAGATCATGCCACGGCACTATAGCTTGGCAACAAAACAAGACTCTGTCTCAGGGCAAAAAAAACACAAAACTCTTCTTTCTTTTGCTTGTTTTTTTAAGACTCTTTACAAAGTAAAAACCATTCTCAGGTCACAGACTACACAAAAGCAGGTTGTGGACCCCTTCTCTACCCAGTAAGTAGCGCTCATTAGGTGCAACTCAGCCAAATATTACCAGCTGTGTTTTTTCAGTACTCACCATAATAGTTTACCAAAGAATATTGTCTCGTAAATGACAATAATTAAAAAAAAAAAAAAAGAAGTAGAAGCAGAAGAAGCAAAAGCAGCAGAGCGGAAGAAGCAGAAGTAGCAGCAGCAGAAGAAAGAGAAGCAGCAGCAGCGGGTTTATTAATCTGTGTAAAATGACATCATGTGCTGCACCTTCATCCGGGGGCTGTGTCATGGCCATGAAAGAGTCGTGAAACCCGCCCACGCTGGTGTGCTCTTCCTGCTCCTCATTCTCAGTGTCACATTCAATGTCACTGTCGCTACTCATTCCTGGCAGGAAGGAAGGAGAACATGTTTCTGAAAAGAAACCACCGTAAGTGAAAGGAAACAGATCTCCTTAACTACTAAACTGAGATTCCTATTGAATTTTACATAGAATGCCAAGAATTCAACAAACTAAACACAACAAAACAAAGACAAAAGTAACCACACAAACCTCGATTCTCTTTAGCTATTTAGAGCGGTGGTTTTATTTTTGTTCTCAAAGTTTAAAATTGCCCTTTCCATAGTACCTGAAAGTTATCATTTGAAACCAGCATTAATTTCATTATACTGATAATATTTTTTTTCCAAATCAAACACTGTTTATTTTTTCAGTCACAAGAGATAACAGGAACTCTTTTAATCCTGATTCATTATAGACATAATTATAGTCCCTAGCCTAAAACATAAATATAAATGTGTTATACAAATCCACATGTTAGATGAATATTAGAAATTCTGGCAGTTCTAATAATAAATTAGTTTGTATTAATTGGGCATCTAATTTTTTTGTGTATGCCGGTTGATTTTTATTTATTTTTATTTTTTGAGAGACAGGGTCTTGCTCTGTTACCGTAGGCTGGGCTGCAGTGGCCTGATCATAGCTCACTGCAGCCTCAAACTCCTGAGCTCAAGGGATACTCCTGCCTTAGCCTCCCAAGTAGATAGGTCCACAGGTACATGACACATACCTGTGTCATGTATGTACATAGCAGGGCATGCCCTGCTAATTTAAACATTTTTTAGAGGGATAGGGTCTTGCTATAATATGTTGCCCAGGCTGGTCTCGAACTCCTGACTTGAGAAGAGATCCTCCCACTTCAGCCTTTTAAAATGCTGGGATTACAGGCCACTGTGCCTGGCCACATCAGTTGATTTTTAAAAGAACAATTCTATAAAAGAAGTATTTGTTTCAGCAAGATAGCAATCAAGAAAACCTGAAAATCTTTCTGCTACAAATCCTTACAAATAGCCAGATAAAATATAAATGTAAAACATTATTTTAATGAATAAGCACATTAAAAGGCAGAAAGGAAATCCCCAAGTGTCAGAAACAAAGAAGGATAAGGAACTTTCATTAGTGGATCAGGGCCCACGGCTGCCCTGGAGAGTTTCATATGAGGATTTTTAAACACTGCCTTGGGATAGAAAAATGAACCCCCTACAGAAAGGGAATTGAAAGTGAGACTAAAACTCCACCCCCTGCATAATGTTAAAATTTTTGTTTTCTTGAGACAGGGTCTCACTCTGTTACCCAGGCTGGATAACAGTGGTGCAACCATGGCTCACTGCAGCCTTAACCTCCCAGGGCTCAGGTGATCCTCCCACCTCAGCCTCCCAACAGGTCTGTGCCATCACACCTGGCTAGTTTTTGTAATTTTTTAGTAGAAATGGGATTTTGCCATGTTGCCCAGACTGATCTTCAACTCCTGAGCTAAAGTGACCCACCCGCTTTGGCCTCCTAAAATGGTGGCATTACAGGAATGAGCCACCATGCTTGGCCAATGTTAAAATTTCTATTAAAGAACAGACCAGAAAAATGTCTGCCTACTGGCATAGGAAAACAGCAAGGAATTTTGTCTGTTTCTACTGGGTTCTGAAGAGGGGGAAAAAAGTCTTACCTCAAAATTCAAAGTAAGATTTACGTGCCTAATTTAGGTTTGGGATTTAAGGTTGAGGTTCAAATTTCAAGAAATTGACATAAAAATTGTTCAGGAGCTAGAGTTATTTGAGTAAAGCAAAAGTAAAATCCTCTCTGGAAGGAAGGTTCTAGGTACAATGGAGTAAGCACATTCCACTCTATCTTTCCCACTGAAAGTAGCAATAAAACCTGGAGAGATGGGTGGCATAGTTATTTAAGGATATTCATAGTTATTTACTTTGAAAAGTAAATAGAAACAGGCATACTGATGAAGCCGGAATTTGAATGACAACAAAACTGGCAGATTAATATAAGACCCAGAGTCTTATTTGGAAAAAAAAAAAAAAATCCTAATGAAAATGTCCAGGATACAACCCCAAATAACTCAGCATATGAAAAACCAGGAAAAGACAGCCAACAAACATCAATGATAAGATGACACAGATGTTTGGATTTAAGGGCTTTAAAGCCAGATAAAATGCTCATCAGCCAGGCCTGGTGGCACATGCCTGTAGTCCCAGCTACTGGAAAGGCTGAGGCAGGAGGATCACTTGAGCCCAGGAGGTTGAGACTAGCCTGGGCAACTTAGCAAAGCCCCAACTCTACCAAAAAAAAAAAAAAAAAAAAAAAAGAAAATTAAAAATTAGCCAGGCACACAGTGGTGCGCACCTGTGATTGTCCTAGTTTCTAGGGAGGCTGAGGAGGGAGGCCCATTCGAGCCCAGGAGTTCAAGGCTGCAGTGAGCTGTGATTGTACCATTGTACTCCAGCCTGGGCAACAGAACACAATACCCTGAGGAACAGAGGAAGGAAGGAAGAATTAAGAAACAAGGGGATAAAGGGACTGGTCTAAACTGTGTCAAATAGAGTGCCGTAGAGATAGCAAAAATAACAAAGAAGAGACAACAGATAACAGGAAAAAAGTTAGAACTTAAAGTATAATTAAAAAGAAAAAAAAAGGAAAAAAGATGAAATTTTTGTAGAATTATAAAAAACATTCTGAATTAAATAAAAATATACCAAAATTTGTGGGATGTGACTATAGCAGTGCTTAAAATGAAAAGTATGCCATTAAGTGTTAGAAGAGAAAATATCTCAAATCAATAATCTAAACTACTACTTTAAGAAACTAGAAAAAGGAAATTAAACCCAAAGCAAGTAAAAGGAAGGAAATAATAAAAAAATAATAATAAAATCAGCAGAAAAACAAAAAAGCCACAATGAAACAAAATGGTGTTTCTTTGAAAAGATCAATAAAGTTAAAAAAGCCTCTAGGTAGATTCACTAACAAAAAAAAGAGCAAACAAAATTTCTAATATCAGGAATGAAAG